GGTCTCAAACCCGCAGGCTCAGGCAATCCACTCACCTCAGCCTCCCAAAGCACGGGATTAGAGGCTGAGCCACCGAGCCCGGCTTCAAACTTTATATTCATAACCAATCAAACTTGATGTATACGCTTGATAATTCCTTTGCATAACAAGACCAGTAACTGAGGTAACCAAATTAGGCAAAAATCACATTTCACCAGCATGATATAGCACATACAGGAGATGCTAAACAGAAAAATTGCTTGAAAAATTAAACATCTCATCAATGTCCACCTCCAAAAACATTCAAGACACTGCCTCTCAGATTTTAATGTGCATATATGAGCACCACTCGACCCCAGATTTAGCTGCGTGCAGTGGCTCATGTCTATAATCCCAAAAAAAGTCCTCAAAGGGAAATGTTCTGCTGACGTGAAAGAGGTGAAACAAAAATGGCAGAAGCACTAAAGGGCACAAAGTTCTCAAGTTCAAAAACTGCTTGGAGCAGTGGAAAAAGCATCTCGATAGGTGCATTGCATCAAACGGAGAGTACTTTGAAAGTGAATGAAGTGTAAGCATGTAAGAATACATACAAGATTTCTTATAAACAAATTCCTGGCTGTTTTGGTCCCCCTTCATAAATTCACTTGAAACATCCTATCAAAAGATTCTGCCATGGTGTCTCATGCCTGCACTCCGAGCAGTTAGAGAGGTTGAAGCGAGAGGACTGCTTGAGCCCAGGAGTTTGAGGCCAGCCTAGACAACACAGTAAGAACTCATCTCTACAAAAATAAAAATTAAAAAATAAAAAATGTCAGGGGTGGTCACACATGTCTGTAGTCCCAGCTCCTCAGGAGGCTGAGACGGAAGGATCATCTGAGCCCAGGCTGTGGTGAGCCAGGATCGTGCCACTCCACTCCAGCCTGGAAGACAGTGAAACTCCAACTCAAAAAAAAAAAAAGATTCCTGGAGTCTGAAGTGGAATCTGCATTTTACAGTATGCTGATAGTCAGAAAGGTACAGCTCTGAGTACCAAGTATCTTCACAGTCCAACTGAGTAGTCGCTAGCCACAAGTAGCTTTTGAAGCTTACAAATTCAGTTCCTCAGTAGTGCTAGCTGTATTTCAGGTGCTCATCAGCCACAGGTTGCTTGTGGAGCCCCAATGGACAGCCAATTATAGATTTCCAGGTTTGCAGGACATTTGTTGGACAGAGCTGGTCTAGATATACCCATCAACAGAGCAGAAAACTGGGAAGCAGGCACTCTCCTGAAGTCACAGTTGAGGTATCTTATCCATGTGCAAACGTCCTGCAGACAACTCTCCAAGCAATGAGCTAACCCCAAATTACATCCACTAAAGTCGTCTCGTACATACCCTGCGGGCCAGCAGCAGGCCAGTACAATATGCTGCAGCATAATTTGTCAGGCCAACTTTTACACCATATTTTGGTAGTTCGTGTGCATAAGCTGCGCAGACTATCACATCCCCTTCTATACGGGCATAAGCAATCTATAATAAGAGAAAAACCAGGTTAGTAATCCGCTGCTTTCATGGTTTCATCACTTGTCCTAGGTGCATTCTTTCTTTTCAAGGAAATTTAAGAAAAACCCTGATGGACATATATCTGCACCACTTAAAATCTGTTAAACCCACACAGCTTCAACTACAATTTATGACTTGGTCAACTACATAGCAGGTGAGTGCAATTGTATAGCAGATAGATTTAGGTGTCTGCAAATATGTTTGACTAATGTTATAGTAAAGATTAAAATTACTAGATGGACAATAAACATTATCAAGTCTTTGGAATAAACCATACCATAATTCCTTGTGCCTAAATACTTAAGACCCTCAGCTGGTTAGCTGGCAAATTAAAGCAGCACTTTAAAAACTCAAAGTGGAACACCTAATTATTTCAAATACCTCTTAAACTAAGCATAAAGTCCAACAAAGTTTCAGGTACCTGATGTTTAGTTATCTGAACTTAGGTAGACAGGACATTGTCTTCACAATCAAATTAATTTGCCCAGAAATTAGGTGTGCCTGTGTCCTGCAAAAGTTCAGCAAATCTCAACTATGAGAATTTCCCCTACTTATGAAAGCCCAGAACACTAGCTTCAAAAGAGCAAACTGCTACTTCCTGAAGCTCTTTCATGTGGGAGACACCTTTGTACATTTCATTAAAACCGATTGCAAACAACAATATGACAATCAAGTCTTAGTTTAACTCTCACGACTACCTACCTACCTCTTCAATCAGCAATGATTAGGTGGAAGGTAAAGCCATATAGCAAGAATCAGCACTTCAGTCTATGACAAACTATTACTCTACCAGTACTGGGAAGGGTTAAGAACTGGTCTCCCCACTCCACTCACATAAGGCAGATTTCTCTAAGCCTCTTTCCCCCAAGTTAAATGAATGGGATTAAACAGAGTCATGATTTCCAAACATGGTCAATCTTCAGTCAAGAGTGTTAAGATACCAATTTCCCAGGCTCCACTCTAGACTTACTAGAAGGAAAAGAATTACTTAGGGTTTCTGGAGGTACTGAGATAGCTAGAAGACAGCTCTTCCAACCCATGCACCACATGCTGTCTTCCAAGCACATCTTCTCTAGCACAATGAGCTAAGGGAAATGTGTGGGTCCAGAATACAACTTACCTGACAGATGATATCTCTGTTTGTTACACGAACTATCATCCTGTATTTGGGTGTGTTGTATTTATTTTTATCCTGTATCACCAAGCGTTTCCGAGCATAGTAATCAGTTTTACCCTCTGAAAGAAAAAAATAATTTTAGAAGGTTACCCTACGGCAAGTAGATTCTTTTAAATATTAAGAATATGAAAGTGACAGTACCTCGTCGTCTTCTAAATTTCACTTGGTATCTCTTAAAGTAGGCCTTATTCTTGACAACTTTAACAAACCCCTTAAAGAAAAAAAGATGTTATTAAAACTCTGATGCATGTCTTAGCCCATACTTCTGACATGAATTAACCATGCAGCAAAACAACACTTGAACAAGAGCCAAATGTCACTTTTGTAGAATCTTGTGTTCCCCAAGTGAGCTGGGTTCAAGAATCATTTTTCCCTCTGCTTCCCATTAGTCACAGACGGATTTTATAAAAATGATTAACAAAACACGGAATAAAAAGATACCCAAAAATGCAGGCCCCTGCTGGTTAGACTTTATCAGGCATAAAATTCCTTCACGACGCATCCGCAAGTTTTTAAACGCTTACTCTCCGCTTCAGTCTTGTCTCCTGAAGGACCAGCACCCATCCTTGGGCCAGACTTTTGGGCAGCCCCTCTCTGGACAGCAAGCAGGCCACGGTGCCAACGTCAATGGGTTCGAACGCCGTGTTCGAGCACCCAACCTCAGATAACTACATACCTCTCTCTCCATCCCCATGCATGCCTTTCAAAAGCCCAAATAACCTGCCACAATGGAAGCTACACTCCGGTCCCACTTTGGGGGCCCGATACCGACCACCATTCAGAACCGAAGCCGTAGAGGGACCGGGGAGGAGAGGCAGAAGGCGCCCATTCCTCACGCGCTTCCTTCCGGGGCCCAGCGACACTTCGGCCTCCAACCTCCCCTGACAGTTTGGGCTTCAAAGCTACGTCCTCCGCCCACAGGCGCGGGGTCCTGAAAGCCTCGCCGGCCCCAGCGACGAAGCCACGAAGTAGCTGGAAGGCGAGCGGGGCCTGAGACCCGCAAGTGCCTCCGCCCCGGCGCTCCCCGGCTAGTCCGAGGTCACCCAGGTGCGACCTCGCCCGCCCGGCCGCCTGCCAGGGCCCCCCAGACAAGCAGGCACTATCCCCGCAGGCTGTCTACTAAGGCCGCCCCTCCTTCTTCCCACTCTGCTGTCCAAGCTCTTGCTACCCTTCTTTGCGAACCCCTCCCCCCAGGCAAGCGCACCGGGCGGCAGCCATTAAGGCCACGCTGGGAGCGGCAGCCCGACCATGGCAGAGCCGGCAATCTAGTGCCATCCGATTTCTGCGCCGCGCAAAACGAGCCCTAGAATGGCGTTCGGGCAAGGAGAGGGAAGCCCTGTGCATGGAGAGGCCAGAGATCAAGGTACCCACTCACCATCCTGCGGAACGGAGACCCGCGTCCGTGGCTCCACTCAGACCTGCAGGCCCAGCAGCGTTGGGGGGGGGGAAAAAGATCGTAGCCTTTGCGCAGGCGCAGTATGTAGCACCGACGACTACGCAGCGACGTGTGAAAGAGAGAGGGCACCGGCATCAAGACATGTGCCGTGCTGCCCCCTGGTGGCAGGAGGATGAATGCCGGACTTTGCCTCGTCGCCACAAGCCTTTGAAGACTGCTGGATCCCAAGGCTTTCTCTGGGCACAGCATCCCACAGGGGTGGGCGGTGAGCAGGAGCCCGGGAAGGTTTCTGGAGACTTTCGCTTTCTTTGCTACAGTATTTTTTTGTTTTTTGAGTTTGAGTCTCAGTCTGTCGCCCAGACTGGAGTGCAGTGGCCGCTTCCGGCCACCGCAGCCTCGACCTGCTGGGCTCCGGGGATCCTTCCACCTCAGCCTTCCGAGTAGCTGGAATTACAGGCATGCGCCACCACGCCCGGCTGATTTTTTGATTTATTGTAGAGATGAGGTCTCGCTGCTCAGGCGGGTCTCAAACCCGCGGGCTCAGGCAATCCACTCACCTCAGCCTCCCAAAGGCGCGGGATTACAGGCTGAGCCACCAAGCCCGGCTTATTTTTTTATTTTTATTTTTTTAATAACAAACATATTCTACTCTTGTAAGCAGAAAAAAAAGTTAAAGTGACATAGGATGAATTTGCTTGGGAGCCCTCTTGGCGTCTCTAGAACTCCTTCTCCTGCACAACTCATCGAGGTCCAGGATCACCAGGCCCCCCAGGGAAGCCTTGACTGAGAACCCCAAGCCTAGAATAGGGGCCACTCCTCTACCTTCCCACAGCACCTTCGTACTGCTACAGCCCACCCTAGACCGTAAACTGTCCAAGGGTGGGTCCTGCTGCTGGACGCACCTTTGAATCTCAAGTACTGTCAAGAGCTGGGAGAAGGGGATGCCAGCCAGGGATGACAAGTGGCTCCAAATAACTGCCACTGGAATAAAACAGAATTATGATGCCAATTACCTAGGGTTTCAAATTATCATTCTTTGTCTAACAAGAAAAATGAACAGAATCTACTCTGACCAATATCAACACAGCACTATAGGAGGAATATTAAAACACATCTCACAGGCAAGGATGGCTTGATCTTCACTGAGCAGCTTTTGAAAGGTAAAGAAAGAGGTATTCCATTTGCATTTATGGAAAATACTTATAGCCCAGTGCAATGGCTCACACCCATAATCCCCGCACTTTGGAAGGCTGAGGTGAGAGGATTCCCTGAACTCAGGGATTTGAGACCAAGCTGGGCAATTTGGCAACACGTTGTCTCTACAATTAATCAAAAAATTAGCTGGACATGGTGGCATGCACCTGTAGTTCCAGCTACTTGGAAGGCTGAGACAGAAAGATCATCAGAGCCCAGAAGGTCGAGGCTGTGGTAGCCCTGATTGTGCCACTGCACTCCAGCTGGGGTGACAGAGTGAGACTCCAACTCAAAAACAAAAACAAGGGCAAACTTCTTTCAGGTCCCCTCCTATTTGGAAACTTTTTTGTCTTCTTTAATAAACTCCTGTGTTCTCACCTTAAAAAAAAAAAAAAAAGGAAGTAAAATACTAAAAAAACCTTTATTTTGGTGATTTAGCAAGTTACTAGCCTACCAAAGGTGCCACATGTCTTGGTCAGACCCTGCTTACATTGGAGATAGAAGCATCAGGAAGGAAAGTCTACCTGGAAATAGGCCCACCTCTAACTTTTGCATGTTTTAGGGCAAGAGTATATAGGAAGACCCCCATGCAATTCATCTGAGTATTTAGAAGTGATGAAGCATATTACTGTGTTGTCAAATTTAATATGTTTTATCAGCCAAGTGAAGTGGCTCACGCCTATGATCCTAGCACTTTGGGAGGCCAAAGTGAGTGGATTGCCTGAGCCCGTGGGCTCGAGACCAGCCTGGGCAACTTGGTAAGACCTCTTCTCTACAATAAATTAAAAAATAACTGGGCAGGGTAGTGCACACCCGTAGTTCCAGCTACTTGGGAGGCTGAGGTGGAAGGATCACCTGAGCCTAGCAGGTTGACGCTGGGGTGGCTGTGAATGTGCCACCGCACTCCAGCCTGGGCGACAGAGTGAGACTCCAACTCAAAAAAAAAAAAAGTTAAAAATCACCAATAACAGAGCAGATCAATCTTGTATGCCTCCTGATACACTGAGCACAGAAGCACTTTACATACCCCAAGGGGGACCCCCAAGAAACCCAACGGAATTGTCTTTTGGAGGCCGGGACCCTTGTAATATACACTCAGAAGTTGTTCCTCCAGATCGAATGGTCAGCCACACTTTTTTTTTTTTTGAGTTGGAGTCTCCCTGTGTCACCCAGACTGGAGTGCAGTGGCACACTCCTGGCCACCGCAGCCTCGACCTGCTGGGCTCAGGTGATCCTTCCGCCTCAGCCTTCCAAGTAACTGGAACTACAGCCACATGCCACCACACCTGGCTAATTTTTTGATTTATTGTCGTGATGAGGTCCCACCAAGTTGCCAAGGGTGGCCTCGATCCCATGGGCTCAGGCAGTCCTCTCACCTCAGCCTCCCAAAGTGCTGGGATTATAGGCGTGAGCCACTGCACCGACCTTCAGCTACACTTTTTATCAGGAAGTTCTGAGGAGGTTGCTTCACGATTTGCAGAAGAAATGTCCCGGGTTATGGTAAACAGGCGACTGGTTCTTCCTCCATGACAATGCGCTTGCCCACCCCATGCTGAGTGTTCAGCAGTTTTTGGCCAAAAATGGCATGACCCCCACGCCCCACCCTCCTTATTCATCCAATCTCTCCCCAAGTGACTTTTTTCCCCCCAAAGAAAAAATTCTCAAAGAAAAACATTTTGCCAGCCAGGCTCGGTGGCTCAGCCTGTAATCCCGCGCCTTCGGGAGGCTGAGGTGAGTGGATTGCCTGAGCCTGCGGGTTCGAGATCCGCCTGGGCAGC